GGTGTGTATACTCTACTTAAAAAAGAAAAGGTAATAATTGCTATGCAGAAATGCTGGCTTGGTGTGACAAGACCTGATATTGTTTTCCACCAAAAGAAGTCAGAAATCTTATTTTTGAAAGAGAAATCTACAATACAAATGCTCGTCAATTTGATAAACTCATTGTGAATGGGAAAACGTGTTTAATACCCCTGACAGAACATCATAACACAGTACATCTCAGACTACAGTATCAGTTTTTTTTCCTCATGATCACATGGCTGACTGGTAGCTGCAGCCCCCTCCTGCCCAATATCACACCACATATTAGAAAAGATAAAAGTCAAAATTTAAAGCACGGTTCTCACTGAATGCATATGATATTTGGACCATTGAAAAGTTGTAAAACCATTCTAAGGTAACATCTATACTTTAAATGCTGATCAAAGCAAACATTAGGCTAGATTCAGGCCTTAATTTGACAATTTGTGACTTCTGTTGCAAAGCACTGCAGAATGTTGCCTTACAAACTATGAAAATGTGGATATACAGACTATGGGGGGAAAAATGGAGGCCACAATTCAAGATGGGAATTAAACAGCAAATAAGGAAATATATCTACAGATGTATCTACAATCATCAGTCAATAGCTGAGTTAAGTTAGTCAAGCATATTTTGAGGAAGAAGAAAAATTTATAAAGGGAACTATCAGGTAATGAAATTGAATTAGGTTCTGATTTTGATTTTGAAACAGAAATGGGAAATGTATATAAGAGTTCCTGCAATGAAAAATGAGAGATGTCTTCAACACTGCTATTAGGTACTTGGCTATTCTCAACTATAAATACTGCCGCAGAGGAAGCTAACATAGAATTCAAATATGAAAATTCAATCATATCAAGGCCTCAAAAATTCACCTTGAGAATCAATCATAGAATTTGGAAATCATATTTTAATTAATAACTAGACTAGGGCTGGGGATTTAGCTCAGTGGTTCTGATGCCTGCCTTGCAAGTGCAAGGTTCCGAGTTTGTAGGAAAAACAAAAAAAACCTAGACTATGTTTTTAATTATATTAAATTACTTTACACTTGAGCAATATAAAATGCCATGTAAATGTACCATTTCATTAAATCCCAACATGATTCTATGATGTAGATGATTATTTCCATTTTTATAGACTAAGGTTTGGAAAGAATCCATCACTTGCCCATTTCATAAATATTTAATTTAGAATGCTGAGTACATATAATAGTGAACAAATCAGGCAAAAATGCCTGCCTTTGTGGAGTTCAAAGCTCAGGCTTAACCAAGTTAGCTCCAGGACACAGTCAATAGCTTTTATTTCAGACACAACACTGTTCTTGAATCTAGACCTCCCATCAAGCTTTAACTACTGTTTCTAGGAAGTGGGCAACACTCTTAAATAATGACAGAGGAACCAGCAGGGTGCAGACCTATGACTCAGTGGATGGAAGTTCTGGGGCAGCTGAGTAGCTCCTGGGCCACTCACCAGCTGTGTGACCTCAGCAGAGGACCCCTCTGTGTTACAATGTCTTCTCTGTGCCTGGAGAGGCTGCTGTAAAAACACAGCATGAAATAACACAATAATGGTGGGAATTGTGTATAAAATCTTATGTACACATTTGTGTGATGCTTCATACATTATATGAACGGTTTTCAAGTATTAAACAACAATTATTTTAAAAATAAAGACTCAGCAATGGTGAAATTTCTAGTAATCTTAGAAAATCTGCAGTCGTGCTTTCGGGTGATTGACTTAGCTTTAAGGTTGTTGGTTTAAAGGGAAGTGTGGGTTTAGTTACCCCTAGAAACACTTAGTTACACCTGGTAGGAGACAACCCAGGGCAAGAGACCAGACACAGTAAGAGCTACTTCTGAGAGCTGACATCATCTGGGGAAGAAATAAGTGGGCATTCTCTCATGGATTCATTGAACAAATATTTACTGCTTGCCTACCATGTCCTTTTTGTTCATTACTATATCCTTGGTGCCAGAACAAACTCATTGCCCAGAAGAGGTTTACATTCTAACAGGGTGAGATAATTAACGTTCAGAGGTGTTTATGTTAGGTCATAAGTGCTATAAAAAAATAAATAAATAAAAAGGAAAAAAAGATAAGAAAAGAAAGAAATTAGGCAATAGAGGGCAGGATGGAGAGAGGGAAACTGTATTAGGATAATCAACACCAGCTATCTTAACAAACACACCCTGTGATTCCAAGGGCTTAATGCAACACAGGATTTTTCTCTTACAAAATGTGACTGAGGATGGTGACTTAGGACTCAAGTATCCAGGATCCTTCCACCTTCTGCTTTCTCCAAGATAAAAGAAAGGAGGCTTAGGGAAGCCAGATGATTTTGAATGAAGTGGAGATTCAGCATGGTGTATCTCTGGAGAAAGGAGGTTTCAGGCAGATAAAACAACAAAAGCAAAATCTGAGGCACAAATGTACTCGGCTTATTGTAATTAACTCTTCAATCTAAAAAGTAATTACCAATAGGTGAAACCACATGTTTATTTTATCCTAGCTTAATTTCTCACGAATTAATAAATTGTATTTGAGAGGTTTAGTGAACGTTGATTTCATGTTTTTGCCTACATAAAATGTTGACATTGAAATTCAATGACCTCTATTGCTTACTGTGAAAGTCATGCTCAGTTTTCAGCTGAAAATGTTATAACTCAGAATTTGCCTACTGAATTAAGGTTTTGCACTGCTTTAGGATACACACTGTGGGAGTAATTCTGGCATGCCAGGAGTGGTAGTTTTATGCAGGATATTTATGGTACTACCACTCTTAGAATAATAATGTATTTTTCTGGCTTGTTTCCCAGATTTGCTTGAAAAGGGTCAGGGGACAGGCTGAAATTAATGACATATGAATGCTGAACACCAGTTAGAGTTGTCTTGAAAGGAATAATTAGGTTAGACTTAATAAGAGGGGATATTGAGAAGTAAAAGCTTTGGGCAAATTATACACTGAAGGAAAAGAAGATACGAAACAAGACAACTGTAGGAGACTGAAATTAATATTCCAGGAGGTGATTTATCTAGTTACCTTAAAAATGATATTTTAGTGAGATGTAGAGATGACCTGGGAAATCATGGTTACTGACCTCAGATGAGACGGGATGAGAACGCTGGGACCTTTCCTGGTGCATACACCCTGCAATCACAGTTTTAGGACTTTTATTTTATGAAAGAAGCCAGGGATTTTGCTTTCCCGAATAATAGCAAAAGCAATTACCGTCGTGCTTACCAGGCACGACGCCTTTCACATATTAACATTTTATTTTCCTCATCTGTACAGTAGGGATTAGGTTATGACTAAATCCGCACAGCCCGGGGAGGTCAGTACAGTGTGACTTCCTCAAAGTCATAGATACTTCGTGTCGTTCCACAGAGTGGAACAGGGAAGCTTGGCTGTGAAAGCTGAGCTTTTTATTCACTGCACTACCTACGTCTTGGAGCGGAGAGGGGTCACGTGTAAATGCTAAACTCTCTGAGACATTTACAATATTGGAAACTCTCCAGATCTTTCCACACCACCCTTTGCCTATTATTTTGTCAAACATATCTCCTCCCCTAACCCTTGCTTTGATCTTGTAAATCTTGCACCTTCCTTGCCAAAAAGCTTCGGAGAGAGCGAGAAAGAAGATGCAGCACCAGCGAACAGCCCATTAGCAAGGACATCCTCGTAGGTGCAGTTGCTCATTTTTGCAGAAGCCTTTCTTACCTGCGCGGGTTAAGTCGTTTTAGAAGCATTCGATGAGCGCTCAGAGTGCGGACGTTCATTTGGCATGCAAATACTAACTTACTTTCTAGGAAATTTAAGAGCCTAAAAATTCCTCAGAGAATTCACTTTTCAACAATCCTTCAGCCGCGGTGCTCTCGCCCTCGCGCCACACAACGCAGCACCGGCCACCAGGGGGCAGCGGCAGCCGCGAAGTGGGCCGAGCGCAGGAGCGGAAGCTCGGCCATCGCTTGCTCTCGCCT